CCAAGGTGCGGCGAGTGGGGGCCTGTTACAAGGTTACATGAGAGTGAGGGGCAATCCCAACATTAAGATTTCCTAGGGCTTTGAATGCTACAAGCAAATGGGGACGCGATGGGCTAGGGGTCGGAGGAGTGGTAAGGAATGGGATCAGCCAGCATATAACCAAATGATATCATCGTGCCCAGGGCTGTCTCATGGATGTCCTGTGAACACGAGCATTTTCCTGTCTCATAAAAGCTGGAGACATCTACAAAAATGCCTAGACCCCTATTCACATCTGTGCTCTGAGCACAAGGGACGTTTTCCCAGGGAATGTGTAGTTCCCAGCTGGACATTTTGGGGGATATACATCACACAGCAATGCCATAGGTAACACGGCATTGTTTTTTTTTGAACTTTTTTTGAACTTTTTTTGAACTTTTTTTGAACTTTTTGAATCAGTTCAAAAAGTTCCTCCCTTTCCAGAGATGCTTGTGACCCTTTCCATATGGCTTTAAAGGGACTCCAGAGGAATTTGAAGGGAGCAGGGGGCAGGAAACAAGGTTAAAATAAAAACAAAATTTAAATTCAAACTACAAATTCTGAATGAAGAGTCATTCCAGCAAGAGCATTGAAATCTTTCCCTCAGAAGGATCCAAGCAGGACATATCAAGCTCAGAATTGCTAAAGCCTTTTAAAAATCATGCCATGACCCTGATGGCAGTGGGTTGGACTGTCCGGTCCAGATCAGATGGTCCAGATCTAGGCCAAGGCCACTCCATTAAAGACCAGAAAGCTGAACAGGTGTCAAACTGGAGCAATGCAGCAGTGGTTCATACCATGCCCCTTGCTTCACTGGTCACACATGTGCATCCTCCTTGCCTTATAGGTCAGGTGTACTTGCAGCCTGCCTGGCTCATGACCACGTTCAAAGGACATGGCTCCTAGTAGCTCTAAGAAGCCCTAAGGTCATGATGGCCTCTTGGTTGGAGTGTGCAGCCGAGGAGAAAGGGACAAAAGAAGAGTCTGTGGAAACCTCGAAGGAATGGGAAACCACTTACATGCTCAGAGAGGCAAAAGTAACAACACTGGCATCCTGTGCGCCCATCCTGGATCAGGCAGGGGAGGATGGAGGGACACCTGGGTGCAGGTGTCTATCATGCACTACACGAACAGGGGGACGGTGGGGCATGGGGAGGGGAGGAGTTCAGCTGTTCATCTGGGGGCAAAACAGCACGGGACCATCCAGGCCAGGTGAAACCTGTGGGAGAAGGGGCAGAGTTAGGGCACGCGCAGGGTGGGGTGCAGGCCAGGTGAGAAGAAACTAGTGTGAGTGGGATGGGGTTGGACCTGGGCCCCTCTGCTCACACCCAGGAACAACCACAGGGTAAAGGAGAGTCTCCCCAGCCAGGAGCAGTACGTGGTTCTCACACTTGGCTTAGGAGGGATTTCTGTCCCAGCAGGCCTGGCCTGGGCCAGGAGCCCGGGCAACTCACCTGCTCAGTGCTCCCCACCTTCGCCTCCTCCCCTCTGCCGCCGTGTCAGCACTGGGGGTGGGAGGCAGAGACGATGGTCACCTCGCAGACACCCCATGCCCCCAGGCCCCACCACTTCCACCAGCCCATGCCCCAAACTCCCCTCTCTCCACCACTGCCTCTGTCCCAGCGACTAGCACAGGGGTCCCAGCCCTCAACCCGTCCTGCTCCCAACCTGCGAGACGTTCCCAGGACCAGGAACATAGTCCTGGCTCCAGCTCTTGCTCTGCTCCTCACACAGATCCCACGCTCTCATGGTAACACTAGGGAAAAGCATCATACCTTTCCCCCTGTCGTGTCCATTTTAGACAATGATGCCTCATGGTCTGGGTGCTCGCCTCCAATGTTGGCCCCCGGCCAGCCTGGCACCCCACCTCAGCCAGGCAGAGGGCCCTGGTCTGGGTGCAGGTGTCTGCATGGCGAGGGCCCTCTGCCTGGGTGCTGGCTTCTCTAGTGCGGGGCAGGCTGGCCTGGGTCCCTGCGTCCATCCCCTGGGAGGGGCATCTGCTCCTGTTTGCACAAGGGTAACTGGTTAGAGATGATCATGGACAGAATAGGATGCACTTTAATAAAGTCAAGTGCTAAGTACTGCATCTAGGGAGAAAGAATCACCGTCACACTCACAAACTGGGAAATGACTTTCAAAGGAGCACAGCAGCAGAACGGGACTGTGGCAGGGCACAGTTTGTGCCTCCCATTTTAATGGCCAGAAACCAGCAGCCAGCAGGTGCCTAATGACAGCAGCCAATTTTAGATTTGGGGCTGCCTATATAAGCAGGGCATTTTGCTGCTGGCAGGCCAGGCAACAGTATAGCCTGGCTGTGAGGCTCCATGGAGCACCGTGGAAGTAAGAGAGGAGCTGTAGGGGATGGCTAGGAGGCTCTTGGTCTTGGGCATGACCTAAAACTGCACCCTGCTGGGAGTGGGTGGCCTGGTGGGGCTCCCAGTGGTGCGGGAGCCCCAGGAAATGCCCATTACCACCCGGTGAAAGGCAGGTCGGGGCGCCTTAACCCCAGCTCCCACCTTCGGGTGGGTCAGACACCACCGGAGGTAGGGGGGCCAGGCATGGCTGCGGCCACCTGAGCCCACCCGGGAGGGAAGCCCCGTGGCCCCGAGGGAAGGGTGCGGAGATGGGGAGCCCGAGTGAAGGGGGAGAAGACCCAGAGGGCTGAGGGCCCAGTACATTTATATACACATGGTGTTGTCCCGGAAGGGGCCAGAGTAAGCTTAGACCCGGTGGGGTAATTGGCTGGCCACTACTCGGGTGAGGGTTGTGGGAGAGGCCCAACAGATGGTACGTCTGCCACCCAAGGAATGGACTAGCTAAGCCTATGGCCTTGCTCCCTCCAGGAGGGAGCAGGGCAGCATAAGTAGGTGATGCATGAAAGAGACCCTGTGAGAGAGGGTGGTGTGTGTGAGGCCCGACTGAGAGGCGGGCAGTGTCAATGTGCGGGTGACCGAGGCCTGACAGTGCGGCCTAAGCTTGCTCCAGCGCTAGGCCAGCAGCACTGTAACATCTGGATGCCATCTGCAAGGTGGCTATGGTGTAGGGGAGGTATGGAGCCACAATTAGTGGCCCCTGGCATCGGGGCAGTAAATGGCCAGCCTCCTGCCTAATTTAGATTGTTAATTAATTAATAACAAAGTGTGGAAAGCAAGTCAGGTGGGGGAACCCAGCACAGCGGCTAGGCGGGGAGCCCCACCTTGCTACAGGGATCTTGGAGTCATTGTCAACTCCAAGATGAACTTGAGTCGTCAGTGCGACAAAGTGAGAAGTAAAGCTAACTAAAGTCTATCATGTATTTGGAGGTGCATCCCAAACAGGTCCAGGGAAGTGATACTTCCCCTCTATGCGTCATTGGTAAGGGCGCAGCTGGAGATCTGCGTCCAGTTTTAGGCGCCGCACTTCAAGAGGGACGTGGATAACCTTGAGAGGGTCCAGAGGAGGGCCACATGCATGGTTAGGGGCTTGCAGCTGGATGTCTTCAGCCTCTGCAAGGGAAGACTGAGAGGTGACCTGTGGCCGTCTACAAATTTATCACGGGTGAGGTGGGCAGCAAGAAATAGGAGATAGCCTATTGACCAGGGTGCCCCTTGGGATAACCAGAAACATGCTCCACCAACTGACAGAGCAGATTTAGATTAGACATCAGGAAGAACTTCTTTACGGTAAGGATAAGTAGCCATCCCACCAGCATCTTAGGGCTTCATACAGCCTGGGGGCAATCCCCTCCCAAGAAGTGGCCCCCACGCTGCCTGAGCACAGGATCTGGAGGCCCAGGGAGACACAGGGGACAGCTGCTTGGTTCAGGGCACTGGCACCCTGAGGGATGGGCGTCAGGGGTCATCCAGACCTGCCTGGAGGCAGAAGGGGCCCTGATCAGCACCCAGGTCCCATCCCGCTCTGATCCCAGGCTCACAAACAAACACTACAAAAAGCACCATACCGTTCCCCGTGTCCTCGACGATTTTGACGGAGGCGAGTCTTTGTTTGCGTGCTCGCCTCCATGACAGGCAGGGGTTCAGTCTCGCACCCCACTTCAGCCAGGCAGAGGGGCCCAGTCTGGGTGCTGGCGTGTTCATGCCCAGGGCCCTCTGCCTGGGTGCTGGCTTCTGCAGTGAGGGGCAGGTTGGTCTGGGTCTCCTTGCCCTCATGGGACCCTGTCTCCTTTTCCTGGCGGGGGCTAATGCTCCTGGTTGCACAAAAAGGAGCTGGTCAGAAATGGGTCCTGGACTGAATCCATCTCCACCAGCACCGGAGAAGGAAGGACTCCCCAACCTGCAAACAGCATCACTTGCAACACCCCATAGCCTGGCCCAGAGCCCACCAGCTACCCAGGACA